GAGTGAGAGTGAGTGAGAGTGAGTGAGAGTGAGTGAGAGTGAGTGAGAGTGAGTGAGAGTGAGTGAGAGTGAGTGAGTGAGAGTGAGAGTGAGTGAGAGTGAGTGAGAGTGAGTGAGAGTGAGTGAGTGAGAGTGAGGGTGAGAGTGAGCGTGAGAGAGCACAACTGCTCCTGCCATGACATCTGCACTTCGAGGTTCACCAAGTGCGGTGGCTGCCACGAAATCTGCACTTCGAGGTTCACAAAGTGCTGCGCCTGCCATGAAATCTGCACATTGAGGGTCACTGAGCGCTGTGCCTGCCATGTCCAAATGTCACGATTCACTGCACCTGTTACGAAATCTGAGCTCCTCGACGATCACCACATGTCCAAAGTGGTGCGCCTGCCACGAAAACTGCATCTCGAGGTGAAACCGTTCCGATCCCTTGCACCTGTCACGAAAAGTCGACTTTGGAGCGCCAAAACACGAGGCGAGGTTTCCCTTGCACCTGCCACGATAAGTGACCATCATGTGCGAAAGAAAATGCGCGCGGCACCACAACGAGAGCGCAGTCGCGGCAAGCACCCGCCGCCAGCAGGCAGATTCTGCGAGCCTGCGCAGTCGAAGTGCACATGGACGATGTCGAGAGTCATGGATGTACTGTAACCGGACACACCCGCGCGGCACACCGATCTACCGTAAGAACCCCTAGTGTGTCCACACTCATTTGGGAAAAAACATTTATAGACCCTCCTCCATGTTGTTTTTCCTTTTCTGATTTTAATATTCTTTCAAGTGTTCTTTCTTTCATGATTCAACCTCATGTTTTCTTTTTTTCTGCCCTTTCCAAGTTTTGAATCTCCTAGAACATTCGTCCTTTCTTTAGCCTTAGTTTTTCCCTTTATAGTTCTTTCTTGAGACTGTTAAAGCTTGTTTCCTTTTTCACTTTTCTGCCGGAATTTGATCTTGTCTTGCCTTGTCTTTGAGTGTTCTTCCTTTCGTTGTCGGGTTTCTTCTTGAGACCTGTGGACCTTGCTCCCTGTCTTTTCTGCTTCCGCCGTTTTTCACTTTCGTTATTTGCGTTCTTCAACCTGTTTCATGTTGTTCTGTCTTGCTTTCTTGTTTTTTTGCCATGTGTTCCGTTCTTTACACCATTCTTCGTTTCTTTCTTGAAGATTCTTTCTCGTTTAAGGCCTTTCCTTTCTGTTCATTCCTTGTAGTGCCTTCCTTCTTTTCCAGCATATTGGGACCTGTGGATCTTTCATGGCCTTTGCAGCCTTCGTTCCTGTCTTGTTCCATTCTTTCTTCACCTTCGTCACCTTCTTCCTCGTTCTCGTCGTCCCAGCGAGCCTGAGGGGGGGTAAACTTCGCATATTGTCCCACGCCTGTCACGTTTTTGGAGAGTTGGAAGGATAACGGTATCGCATTCTGTTAGACGATCTGCGTGTCATGTCGCAGCTTGAAGGCGTCTTTGGTAAAGTGTGGTTGACGAAAGCTTGAGCTCGGACGTCTGGCCTTGCAATCATTTCCGGTCCAATGATCGAGTGGAACCACGGGAACAACGGAACAACGTCCACTTTCGATCGCAGTGCCAGACGGCAATGCGAACTTCACACCTCGTGCCATAAAAAGACCATGCGCGTTTCGCGGTTCGTGGCGGGCGGCGTGACCTCGTTGTTGCAGTTCTTCCTTCCTTTCTTTCCTTACTTTTTACGGCCTGGACGCATCCAAATCCTAATTGCACTCACTATTACACTCATTGAACAGCTTTGGGAGGTTCTGCTGGTGGGCTGTTGTTGGCTGGCTCCTCCCCCTGTGTTTCCCTGCGCTTTGCATCTTTCCACAGCTGTTGTCCGTCTTACTCATTCACTGATTCAATCATTCACTCAATTCTTCTCCAGGGACAGGGTAAGTATTGGGAGGGACACTATTGAGACTATAATATGCTCCTATATTTAAATCTATGTTCATTGACTTTCATGGAACATCATTGAAGCTATGTTTTTCTATGAAGCAGAAGATGAACCTAAACAAGAAGCTAGTAGTAACAAGTGCCACGCTAGTAGTAACAGGTGCCTCGCTTCTAGTAACAAGAAGCTAGTATCACTCTCACCGATTGACAATCACTGACTCACTGACAGATTCACCACTTCACATCTCCGCTCATCCGATATCTGGGCTTGTCCGGGCCTTTCCTTTGGACCTTTCTTCCTGTCTTGATCCTTTGAACCCTTCTGTTCAAGTGCTCTTTCATTATTCTTATCGTTCCAAAAAAAAACATCTCATCCGACGCGTTTCTTTCTCTTTCTGTCCGTTTTCCTTCTCTTTCTCGAGCTCGGGATCTGGCCAGTTGGCCCAAGACACGCTCTCCGTAGAACGGAGCTCCAAAGGTGGCCGTGCTTCCCATGATCCTTTGCGAGTCAGAACCGAAAAAGACAAAAGACGTGTTTTCTTTTGGACTTGAGCTCTTAAAGACATATAGCCATATAGCTGTTTAGTTGAAAACAAGTTTTAGATTCTTAGACCTGCACATCAAAAAGACAAAAACGCAGTGAGGTAAAACATGCACAGAAAAAACAATGTGACAAATGCGACGGCGTGTGTTGTGGACTGCTCATCGTGTGCAAACATGCCAATATGTAGACTCTTCTTAACATGCCAATATGTGTATATTTCATTAGTCTCTCAACCTAATAGCGATGGCCTTCTCAGAACTTCGCTCTCTTGCTTCTTGTTACTAGAAGCGAGGCACCTGTTACTACTAGCGTGGCACTTGTTACTACTAGTTTCTTGTTACTACTAGTAAGGCACTTGTTACTACTAGCGATGCACTTGTTACTACTAGTTTCTTGTTTCGTCTGTTTTTCTCAAAACGGAATTGTTCCGTCTCGGTATTTCGTCCCTCCCCGCCTACCGTGGTTTTGCTTGAACTCCTGGTTCAACCAGCCTGGAGTCATGACCTCCAAAGGAACGAGAAAAAAAGTAGACGAAAAAGCAAGACTACGAGAAAAGCAACAAGTAGAGAATACGAGTGAATCTGTTAGTAGTAACAAGTGCCACGCTACTAGTAACAGGTGCCTTACTAGTAGTAACAATGTGTGCTATTAGTAACAAGTGCCACGCTAGTAGTAACAATGTTTGCTATTGGACACTACGGATGCGTTGCGAAAGCGAAGCAAAGCACCTTGACTTGGCATTGGGCCAAGACGAAGCTGCTCAGCAGTACGGTCCACAGGCCCTCAAAAGGCCGTTTTCCACTGTCATTCGTGTCATTGTGGTCTCTCTCCAAGAAACACCGTTTGATGTGACAACGACATGAAAACTATTGAAAAAAACTAACACAATGTGTGCTTTTCAAATTCTATGAATTCTTTTTTTTCGAATTGTCAAATTCTATGTGTTTTCGTTCTGTCCGATCCATTCTTGTTCCGGTTTGCACACCGGGGTCGCTGAGGTGCTCACCATCTCGTCTCATCTCGGTCTAAGGACTTTTCTCGAAGCCAAGGTGGCGGCGACGAATGGCACTAGGAAGGTGGCCAATATTTATCGTATTTATTTTTAGATATATTGTTTAATTCTTTAGGGGGAGTAGGCCGTAGGAAGAAGTAGGAGGTAGCTAGGAAGGTAGGTTAGCTAACGCCGCCCTAAAGGCAGGGGGGAGCTTCCTTGAAGAAGCGCTCGCACCTATTCATTTGGTTCCTAGATGTTTAGGGAAACTTAAGTAGTAACAAGAAGCTACTAGGGGCTCCTGGCATCGCTACTAGAAGCAAGGACGCTACTAGGGTCTCCTGGCCTTACTACTAGTAACAAGGACGCTATTAAGTAGACCCCGACTCGCCCATTTCAAACTCACGTCACATCGTCACACCCATCATGCTTCAACATGCCACAAGAAACGAAGGAAGAGAGAAACAAAGACCTATTTAAAAACGTTACTAGTAACAAAGGGCATCACTACTAGGAGCAAGGATGCTACTAGGAACAAGAAGCTACTAGTAACAAGTGCCTCGCTACTAGGAGCAAGTGCCTTACTAGTAGTAACAAGAAGCTACTAGTGGCTCCTGGCCTTACTACTAGGAACAAGAAGCTATTAGCTTATTGTTTCTACTAGCAAACATTGTTACTACTAATAAGGCACTTGTTACTACTAGCGATGCACTTGTTACTAGTAGCGATCGCGTTCCAAGTTCCTTTTTCTACGCCCGACTCGCTGACCTGAGAGAACCCGGACAACGCCTTCACTTCGAACTGAGGCATTAGGGCACCCGCTGGCTGCTTTTCATCCAGTTGTAGCACAAGACCCCAAACAGGCAAATCCCAGTGCCTCAGCTTAAAGGGCAAAGGCCGCAAATCCAGAACCTCTGGAGAGTCTTTTTCAGCGTCTGTGCCACCCGCCCACTTGCGTCAACAATGTGACGCGATTGCCAAACACCTGTCATGTCGAAATGGCACATGAATTGTGTCTAAATATGTCAGGTGCTCAATTATTTTGTCTTCAGTAACATTGCGTCTTCGTCCTGCATTGATTTGACTCTCATCTCTCGCATCTTACATCATCTCGCATCACCTGGATGCTGATGCAAATGATCAATGCCCGCTTCAAGGTGTTCACTACCTAACAAAACAAGATCCGAAGGACACAAGAAATAAAAATATAAGCAACAAGAAGTGAAAACTGAATAAACAATTTCATGTTCAACAGCGCCAGAAAATATTGCTGGAAAGCTTCGCAGTAAAATGATTGCTTTGGACATATTCAATATGGAGCAATTAGGATGCCAACCGACACAGTGACAGGGGAGAGATAAGACCTTAGCGGTTAGCGGTACGCTGCTAGGAACAAAGGGCATCGCTACTAGGAGCAAGAAGGTACGAGTGGCTCCTGGCCTTACTACTAGGAGCAAGAAGCTACTAGTAACAAAGGGCATCGCTACTAAGCTACAAGGAGCAAGGACGCTACTAGGAACATTCAATCTTTTCTGTCGATTCCGAGCTCAGCCCATGGCATGACGACATAGGCAATGACGGATTGAACATGATACCTGAGAAAACAGGGCGCGCCGACCGAGGGGGCCAAAAATCCCGGTCCCAGTTCATTCAATCACGTGTCATCATGTCATCAGGCCTCAAGAAGAAGAACTATCCATGCGCTCATTACTTTGTCATCATGTCGTCAGGCTGAAAAGGTTGCTCGGAAGGCCCATGTTGAAGTGTTTTGGTGCAGTGTTGAAGAGTTTGGATGGAGTATTTTTCCGGTCTTAAACCTTTGCAGGTCTTAAGGTAGCACCAAGAGCATTTGCAAGTACAAGTGATGTCAACAGAACTCCACCCCACCCCATCCATCGCGTAGCATCGCATAAGTAAGAAGAAAAAACATGCACTCATCACACTCATGTCATCATGCCTAAAGAAGACGAAGAAGAAGAAGAACACATGCTCTCATTACGTGTTCATCATGTCATCATGCCTAAAGAAGAAGATGAAGAAGAAGAAGAAGACACCATGTGCTCAATAGGTTGTCATCATGTCATCAGGCCTTAAGAAGAAATAAATAACCATACATACACTCATTGCGTTGTCATCATGTCATCAAAGAAACAAGAACATGCACTGATTGAGTTTCATCATGTCATCAGGCCAAAAGAATAAAAAGGAACAATGCACTCCTTGCGTCAGGCCTGAAGAACAAAAAACTGTGCACTCATTGCGTTAGGCCTAAAGAATAAACATGCACTCATTGCGTGTTCATCATTTCAGCAGGCCCAAAGAAGAACAACAAACAATGCTCTCATTGCGTTAAGCCTGATCCAGAAAACAACAACATGCACTCATTCTGTTTATGTCAACTCATTCCTGAGGGCAATGGCAGAACTCCATCAATCCAAAGAAGAAGCACCAGACTACGTTCCCTGGCGAAGCGAAAGATCTAATTACTTTTATTCTACTAGCAAACATTGTTCCTAGTAGCGATGCCCTTTGCTCCTAGTAGCTTCTTGTTCCTATGCTGAATTTCCAAGACAGCTTAAAATAAGGGTCTGATGAATCAGGAAGTTTCTTCGAGTACACATGCGCCATAAATACAACGATCAAAATGCAAATTTACATTGCACTTTCAGGTGTAAACAGGAAGAAGCGGTTGTGAGTATTTTGCTTAAAACTTGACTAAAAGCGCCGGCCACGGCGCCCATTCGTCGTCTAAACATGTCAGCTGCTCGGTAGAGATCCAGTGATGCTCCTGCAGTCAGATCCGGTCGGCCAGTTTTTGGTCAGCAAGGACGCTACTAGGAGCAAAGGGCATCGCTACTAGGAGCAAGGACGCTACTAGGGGCTCCTGGCCTTACTACTAGGAACAACGACACTACTATTAGACCTTTCTTGCTTCTCTTTTCTTTGTTTCTAGTAGCGATGGCCTCCAAGCTACTAGCGATGGCCTCCAACCTAGTGATAGGGTGCTTAGTCGTCTCTCGAAGATGCTAAGGCTGGTTCACTAAGGATCACTAAGGTTCAAGCTCTTCCAATGAAGCCTTGCACGAGATAAGCTAAAAGGAGATAAGCAAGGTATCAATTTGCATCATAAGCCTTCGCTACTAGGGTGGAGGCCATCGCTATTAGGAGCAAGGACGCTATTAGGGGCTCCTGGCATCGCTACTAGGAGCAAAGACGCTACTAGGAGCAAAGGGCATCGCATGAGTCTGAGGTTTCGCCTGGAACTTGAGCGCTGGCACAAGTTTTGGCGTAGGAAAACATGTAAAAGCACCATGTAATACGTAAGTCTTTTCAGGCCAGTTGCTATGTGAGAAAATCAATGTCTTCCGCTTGCAAGCAAGATCTCCGCGCTAGAAACACAAGGTGGTTAAGGCCGGCCATACCAGTCAGTCTGCGCCGTCTGCGAATTCTCCGATGCAGTGGCCGTACTTCAGTGGCCGAAGACCAACAACTAACGTACCGTGCTGCAAGTCGACCAGAAGTATCACATTGAGCATCTTCCGATTTTGGAAGTACGACACAACTCTGGTCACTCCAAACAGTGTGTGGCCATCGACATCCATCTAGCATACTGCAGGCAAGTCAGAACAAGCAGCGTGCGTACACCTCTGTCCTTTTGTATGTAGTACTGTAGTACGTAGCAGAATTGCCGTGTTCGAGAAATCTAGAGCATTGCAGCAATTTCTACGTCGCTCGAACGTGGGATGTCAATTTGATGACAAAAAAGCACACCTTGGGCCGGAAAAGACACGCCGAAGCCGTGGCCGTGCTCGTGCAGTGTCACGAGACCGCTGTGGGCATGGATGCCTTCTCAAATGAGCACCGCTTGGCTGCGGGTCCGCGCTCGGACGCGTCAACCGAGGAACAAATGTGACGTTGACGTGCTCCACGGCATGCCCAAGGTCATGCCCGTGAGCCTAAGAACCGTACGGCATTTCTCGCAGTGCTTTTAAACTTCTTCCTTTTGTTTTCACTAGTTTGCCAGGCACCCCACTGCTTCGTGCGTCAAAAGGAAGATCGGCGCCTGACAGCACCACCGCGTGCGGCGCGTGCGGCACCGGCGCGTGCGGCACACCCGCGCTCTCCTGCATCACCAAGGCGGTGAGCGAGGTGTAAAACTGCAGCCTGGCGAGATCGAGTCTTTGTTTCTCACCAACAGAAGTGTCACCAGCAAGATACATGTATAATTAAGACAGAAGGGAGCTAGAGGTAGCTAGGTAAGATAGAATGAGAGATCTTCGGGGAAGGTGTTAAATTAAGGTTTCTAAGAGTACGACCTTGGAAGCTAGAAGCTGGAAGCAGCTAGAAGCAGCTAGAAGCTAGAACCCCCCCCGGTCCGAGACGGACTTCCTGAAAAAGACTTTTCATGAACTTTCTCATGTTCCTTTGTCTTTCTCTTCCTCGGTTTCTGTTTCTCTCTTTTGACTTTCAAGTTGATTGGTGGACGAGTTCTCATTCCAAAGACGCCGGCTGCTCTGAGAAGCTGTGTACTCGCTGCCTAACAACCTCGACCAAAGAAAGCCGTTACGCTCTGTTTCACAAATTATGTTTCTTTTCGCACGCAGAATGTGTAGCATTAAAGATTCTCGTTTTCGCAATCTCTGTGTGTGCTCGTCTTGCATATTCCTCTCAAGAAAAAGAACGCAAAAGGCAAAAGAGTAATTCAAAGGATTTACAAAAAATAAACGTGTCATACATCAGCCCTGCCTCTTGCTGAAGACATTTTGAACACATTCAATGATGTTTGTCGCAACAGCAGCCGCGAAACCTACCTTGAGAAGTTCAAGAGAAGAGTCGTTCAAGAAAGAGTCGATAAAACCGCGTTGAACAAGTGTCCAGCAATGTTGAAGGAGAGTTCAGTGGAAGAAACAAGCACCTGGACAGAACAGAATTCTGAGGTCATTCCAGGTGCTTCAACACATTCCAGCGTCACCAAACCACCAGCCACAGGAACTAGAGATGCCACGACCTAAGCTGTCTGTCTTGTCTCATTGTGGAGGCTGAGCCCTAAGGCACGAACCAAGATGTTGGTCTTTTCACCTGTCAAACGTGTCAAATCGACGGAAAGCTGCGCATAGAGAGGAGCTCGGGAAACTTCCAAAAACCACCCGTCGAAACTTCTCGTTTGTCCTTAAAACTTCGTTCTCTGATCGCATTTCCGTTCTCGCGTGTCCGTGTGTGGTTCTCGGTCGTTTGGGTCGTTTGTCTTTATGTTCAATGCAGCCAATGTATGGCTGTTCATTTCTCGAAAAAAACAATTGTATTGTACACATTATATTTATGCAATTATTTGTTATTTCCTATAATGGATCGTAGATTTTTTGGGAAAACCACACACGCTACAGGACTCCGAGCTTCAGGTGCCTAGCATCACGTAAGCGATGATCACCGTGAAGAAGGGTGCCGAGGCCTCACCGTTGGCGGACGACGTCGTCACGGTGATCGTCTTGCCTTGCTCCTAGTAGCGATGCCCTTTGTTCCTAGTAGCGTCCTTGTTC